ACCAATTGTGGATTTCCATTTTCTTCTTGATCTCTGTTGTATTCCTGTGCCTCTCTAGTTTCCCTCTTGTTAATCAATTCTGGACTTAGTATTGTACAGATACTGCCTCAGTTCCTTGTTATTCCTTCTCAGAGTTAAGCTAGCATCAGCATTGTCTCTCATTTATTCCTTCATACCCATTAACTTCTGTTTCATAGTTTCATGGTCTCTCTAGGATATATAATTCAGAATGTATCAGATCACTAACTCTTTTTATAGTTCATTTTATGTTTAGTAAATTTGAGTTTTTATTTCATTTTTCACACACATTTTATTTCTTTAAAAATTGTCAATTTCATCCAGGTGCCTGTAGCTCACTCCTGTAATCCTAGCTACTCAGGAAGCTGAGATTTGAGGATCATGGTTCAAAGCCAGCCTGGGCAGGAAATCCATGAAACTCTTTATCTCCAATAAACCACCAGAAAACCAGAAGTGGCACTGTAGCTCAAGTGGTAGAGTGCTAGCCTTGAGCTGAAGAGCAGAGGGACAGTGCTCAGGCCCAGAGTTCAAGCCCCACGACCGATGAAAAAAAGAATTGTCAAGTTCTGTTTCATTGTCCTTATCACTTGATCTCTACTATGTTTTTCTTTTACTGTTTCATCTTTAGTTACTGTCTTCATTCTGGTCTTTTTATCCATGGGTAATGGATTGTGCTGGCTCTTACATGGTCTTTTTCATTGTGTGTTCTGAAACCCTTCTTCATTGGGCCTCACAACAACATTTGTGGACATTCCTTTTTCTAAAGGTTTTTACTTAGCTGGGAAGGTGGCTTAGTGGTAGAGTACTTGCCTAACATGCATGAAGCTGTGGGTTCGATTCCTCAGCACCACATAAGCAGAAAAAGCCAGAAGTGGCACTGTGGCTCAAGTAGTAGAGTGCTAGCCTTGAGCACAGAGAGGCTCAGGGACAGCACCTAGGACTGGCAAAAAAAAAAAATTTAAAAAAACAAAAACAAAACCCTAAAGGTTTTTTTACTTGCTGGGAAAGAGGCTCTAATAAATGTGGCCTTTTGAGCAGTTACTCCAAATTATGCGGACTACAGGGTTTAAGAATCAGAATGTCACGGGCTGGGAAGTTGGCTCAGTGTTAGAGCGCTTGCCTTGCATGCCTGAGGCCCTGGGTTCAATTCCCCAGCACCACATAAGCAAAAAGAAAAAAGCCGGAAGTGGCACTGTGACTCAAGTGGTAGAGCTCTAGCCTTGAGCTGAAGAGCTGAGGGACAGTGCCCAGGCCCAGAGTTCAGGCCCCACGACTGGACCCCTCCCCCCCCCCAAAAAAAAAAAAAGAATCAGACTGTCACATGGGGAAGCGGGGACCAGTGTTCAGTGCTGTCCTCAGCTGGCTACAGCAGACACTTCTTCCAATTGGTCCCCCAGCCTTCTCAGGGTCTTAGCTTGCTTCTTCATCCTGGCCCTATCCCTTTTCATTTACCTTTGATCCCCATACACAGGTAAGAACATTGAGTGTTCTTATATTGTTCATGACTCTAGTTCTGGTTCAGCTGGCAAGCCTCTTTAGCTGTCTTTTTGGAATCCTGGTCAGTGATTATTATTTCTATGCAGGGCCCTGAGAGAAAGGAGCTTGGTGGTTTAAGACCTGAAAGAAGGCCATTGTGGCTGGGGATGGGAGAACAGCTAAGAAGACAGTGGTGTCTGAGAGATGAGATAGTAAGGCATTTCCTCTTTTGCCCTTATGATGAAAGGCTCAGGGAAGGTTTTGTTTCCAGGGATAACAGTACCCAGCTGGGTTTCAAAGGCATTATTCATTTGTTTTCAGTTGTTTCATAAGCTAAGGGTGATCTCCTGACAGTCCACAAGCATCATGGCTGAATTTGATTACTCTCATGACAGGTTCAACTGTTGGGAACTTAGTTTCTTTTACTTCAGGGTTTTACTTTTGTTGCAATATTTTATTACAAAATTTATCCAGTTGAGGGCTGGGAAGGTGGCTCAGTGGTAGAGCACTTGTCTTGCATGCATGAGGCCCTGGGTTTGATTCCTCAGCACCACATTAGCATTTTATTTTATTTTATTTTATTTTATTTTTTATTGTAAAGCTACTATACAGAGGGTTACAGTTACATGAGTGAGGTTATGAGTACACTTCCTCTTGAACATTGTTACCCCCTCCATTGTTTTCCCCCTACCATCCCCTCCCTCCCTCCCTTCCCCGAGGTTCTTTTTTTTTTTTTTTGATTGTGATTAAATGATTACATAATTTCAAAGTCACAAGTTCATTCTAACTTCCCTGGAGCAAATTGTCTACCACAGTCTGTAATATATAACAGTGTTCACATGTTATATACCATATTTGTGATCAGCAGCATGAGGATATTTAGTAGTGGTTCAACCAGATGAGCGGGAGTTCTTTGTTTCTTAAGTCCTGTTAGTTTTGCCGTATCACCTAACCTTTTGGATTTAGCATCCACTTATGAGGGAGACCATGTACCGTTTGTCTCTTCGTTCTTGGCTTACCTCGCTCAACATGATTCCTTCTAGCTCCATCCATTTCCCTGCAAATGCCATTATTTTGTCATTTCTAATGGCTGCATAATATTCCATTGTGTATAGATACCACAATTTTTGGATCCATTCATCTGTGGTGGGGCACCTAGGTTGTTTCCATATCCTAGCTATTGCGAACAGTGCTGCAATAAACATGGAGGTGCACGTGTCCTTGTATATTGGTTCCTGTTGTTCAGGGTAGATGCCTAGAAGTGGTATGACTGGGTCATAAGGGAGGTCAATCTTTAGCTTTCTAAGGACCCTCCAGACTGCTTTCCAAAGTGGTTGTATAAGTGTACATTCCCACCAGCAGTGTAATAGGGTTCCTCTTTCTCCACATCCCCTCCAGCATTTGTCGTTGCACATTAGCATTTTAAAAAAAGCCAGAAGTGGCTCTGTGGCTCAAGTGGTAAAGTGCTAGCCTTGAGCTGAAAAGCTGAGGGACAGCGCCCAGGCCCAGAGTTCAGGCCCCACGACCGGACCCTTCCCCCTCCCCCCCCCCCCCCCCCCCAATTTTTTTTTTTAACCAGTTGAAACTTGAAAGAGTTTTACGGTGATCCTCAATGTTTATCCACATGGATTCTGCCTGTGGCATTTAGTATGCTTCCCTTTACCTTTTATCTGCTCATCTTGGGGATATTTCATTATAATTTCTGATTAAAGTATATAACATGAATATTGTTTTAGAGTTCAGTATTGAATTACAGCTTAAAAATGTAATATTTGTATGTACTTAAGTATACAGCTAATATGTTTGTATTGTTGAATTTTCACAAATGCATTCACTAATCATCTAACTGCCTTTCAGGAAGTAGACTATTGTTATTACCCCCAGTGCTTCCTGTCAACCCTTTCCAATTAGCCCACCTCAATTACAAGCATCCTGTGTTCCTGTTTTACCACTGCTGTGGTTTGGGTTACCTTTTTTTCCTTATAAACCAATTCACATGGTCTGTATCTCCAACCCCCCGCCCTCTGGTGTGGGGCCTGAACTCTGGGCCTGGGTGCTGTCCCTCAGTTCTTCAGCTCAAGGCTAGCACTCTGTCACTTGAGCCAGAACACCACTTCCAGCTTTTTTCTGCTTATGTGGTGCTGAGGAAATCAAACTCAGGGCCTATGCATGCAGGGCAAGCACTCTTCCACTGAGCCACCTTCCCAGCCCCACATGGTCTGTTTTTAATATATGCCTTTGTTTTCAGCATCATGTTTTTTGTCTTGTTTAATTGTGCTGAGATTTGAACTTAGAGCCTCCAGCTCTGTTTTTTTGTTGTTGTTGTTGTTGCTTTTGTAGTTTTTTTGTTTCTGTTCCTGTTTTTGTTTTTGTTTGTGCTAGTCCTGGGGCTTGAACTCAGGGCCTGTCCCTGAGCTTCTTTTTGCTCAAGGCTAGCACTCTACCTCTTGAGCCACAGCATCACTTCTGGCTTTTTCTGTTTATGTGGTACTGAGGAATCAAACCCAGGGCTTAATGCATGCTAGGCAAGCACTCTACCATTGAGCCACATTCCCAGCCTGTGTTGGTTCTTTTTGAGGAGATAGTCTTAGGAACTTTGCCCATACTGGCTTTGAACTCTGATCATATAATTCTGAGCCTCCAGGTAGCTAGCACAGTAAGTGTGAGCCACCAGTATGGCTAGTTAGGATCATGTTTTTGAGATTTCAGTCATTTGTTTCTTTTTATTGTTTTCTGTTGTATAAATATATTGTAAGGCTTTAAAAAAATTCTCTCATTAATGGATAATCTTACCTTTTTCTCAAAGTATTGTTAATGAAGTGACTATAAATAATTATAAACATCATTTTTACTACTGTTAATGAAATGACTAAGCTAGTGTAAGCATCATTACTTCTGAAATTTAATAGCTTGGTTTGAGAAAGTGCCAGTCCTCTGCCAAAATTGTTTTTAAGTTTTTATATTAGTAGCACATGAGTTCCTGTTGTTCCTACTCCGTTTTTCAATTTAGCCTGACTAGTATGTGTGGTGGAAACATATACTGGTTTTCAGTCACTTGTGAGTACTGACCAGTAATGGCTGAGCTTTCTCACGCGTCTGTCTCAGCACTCAAGAGGGCAGAGGCAGGAGAGGCACATGTTCAGGGTCCTCCTGGGATATACGTAGTTAGGCTTGTCTCACTGTATATTAGAGGAGAGGTCCCAGTTTGTTTTTGCTTTTGAACACCTGGGAAAGGCATACAGAACCTTCACATAAATGTAGTGCAGCGTGTGAGCTGTTTCTGAAGTTCCATGTGTGCTTTCTTAGCCTATAAGGGCCTCTTTTGGTAGGAAAATGCTACTCTTTTGGTTATTTTTGATAATACTAATTTTCTGTTTAGAATTAAGCATAGATATTGACACAGTTTAAACAGACATGTACAAGGTACTCAGCAGAAGTTTATCAAGCAATTGCATTGAAAAACTATTCCTTTAAAAAACAGCTATTTCCCATTCCTTCTATCACAGGTGAAGAGTGACTACATGTTAGAGATAGCTGATCAGGTGGACCAGGAGATTGCTTTGAAGTTGGGTTGTCTAGAAATACGGTAGGTGGCAACTGTATGCTGTATTCTGTATTCATTCGTATTTCTCATTATTTTTGAAAAATTTCCAGATATTTTCCCTTTCCTTATACTATTATCAACAAAATCTTGGATGGACTGTGACAAAACTATGAATTATTTATTTACTCTGCTTAGGCACCTCTCCCCAGTTTTTGTTTTTTAACAACAAACGATTCCTTGTATACACATACACATTTATATCTTCCCTGATTTTAGGCGATCATACTGGGAGATGCGAGGCAATGCGTTAGAAAAGAAGTCTAACTATGAAGTATTGGAGTAAGTATTACACACTGGAGCTACACTTGTGAAGATTCAGATAAATCATGCTAATTTATCTTGACTTAAGTATTGACTGAAATATTGCTATTTCCCAAACCTGTATATTGATATGAGGGAAAGTTTTAAGAAAAGATTCTTGAAGACATTAATTTTGTTAACATTTTAATTTGTTCTTAAATGCCTTAGTGCTAATGTGCATGTTCTGTCAAATGCTATAGACATTTTTGTGTTTGTAGATTGACTCTCACTGGAATAACTCATATTTTACACTGAAATCCAGAATTGCCTATAAATTACTTATTAATTATTCTATACTTTGTAAAAGCAAATGGACAATAGGGTTTCATGTTTATCTCTAGGTGAGAGTGGACTGGATTTCTCTAGCATATGTTCCCATGTACCTGTCAGGCCAGGCTCATGACACTATGCATTAATTGATTGATTGGTCAATCCTGAGGCTTGAACTCAGGGCCTAGTTGCTGTCCCAGAATTTATTTTGCTCAAGGTTTGTGCTCTACTTCTTGAGTCACAGCTCCCTTTCAGCTTTTTGGGTAGCTTAGTAGTTTGTATATAGGAGTCTTACAGATTTTCCTGCCTGGGCTGGCTTTAAACCATGATCCTCAAATCTCTGCTTCCTGAGTAGCTAACTAAGATTATAGACATGAGGTCAGCTTGAAGTTTATTTTTAGTAATTTTTGCATATAGTGTATTTTATGTAAATATGTATGTATGTATGTATTGCTGGTGCTAAGGGTTGAACTCTGGACTTGAGTGTTTGTTGTTATTGAGCCTCTTTGTGCTCAAGGCTAGTGCTCTACCACTTGAACCACAGCTCCATTTCCAGCTTTTTCTGAGTTGTTTGTTGGAGGTAAGAGTCTCATGGACTTTCCTGCCTGGGCTGGCTTCAAACTGCAAACCTCAGATGAGTCTCCTGAGTAGCTAGAATTACAGGTGTGAGCTACCAATGCTCAGCTTTATTTTTATTTATTTATTTATTTGGTCCTGAAACTTGAACTCGAGGCCTGGACATTCTCCCTGAGCTTTTTCACTTAAAGCTAGCACTCATTATACCACTTTGAGCCAGTGCCACTTTGAGTTTTCTGGAGTGATTAATTGGAGATAAGAGTCTCATGGGCTTTCCTGCCCCAGCTGGCTTCGAACCATGATCCTCAGATCTCAGCCTCTGAGTAGCTAGGATTATAGGTGTGAGCCACCAGAACCTGGCTCTTGATTTAGTTATTTTGAGAAAGTCTTGTTTTTACCTGGGATAGCCTCCTAGTATATTTTATTATAATTGTTTATATAATTGTCTCTCCTTTCTCTTAGAAAGTAGCTGCATCAGCATTGGCCTCTGCTGGCATTTCTAATACTTAACAGCGTACCTAAAATATATTAGGCATTCTATAGATATTTCTTGAATGAATAAATTTAAAACTTAAGCTTCAGTGAGGGAGAGCTGTTGTATACTTCACTTATAAAATGTTTAGCTAGCTTGCATGTTGGCCTAGGTTCCGTTCTCAGCACTGGAAAAAATATTGTAAAAAGTTTTTTTTTTTAATCAACTGAGGTTAATTATATCTGTGCTTTGTCTTCAGTGTCTTTCCTGTCTTCGTGGTCAGGGCTGTCTTTAACTGCCTGTAGTACAGGGCAGAATGGGGTGCCACTGGAGGAAGCAGGAGTTGGCATCAGTGTGCTTCTCTCTCACTGAAGCAAATCCTAGACAGTGGGTGTAGGACTTGTCCAGGACTTACTCGGTCTCTGGGGCCTTGGCTCCTTCCATCTTGCCATTCCATAAGCCATGGCCTTCTCATGGTCAGAGGTGGCTGCCAGTCTTCACTCATCTCATGGCTGTTTAGCCTTCATGAAGGGGAAAGGTATGACATGCTCTGTTCTCTGCTGTCCAGGATACAGCTGTGTACTGTATGTGTGTTTCCCTTTTAGGACCTTGCCAGCTCACAGTGATAATTCATTATCAAGGATTGTGGGAAGGCTCTATTCAGTTAATCTTGAGGTTTAAGTACCTAAGAACTACTTTTTGACTAAAAATACTGTTATGAACATTTTGGAGAAAGGATTAGATACAAATACCTATATGAGAATACACATTTAAGTTATATATCTTCAAGTTAGTTTTGGTTGCTTTTATACCCAGGCTTTGAATATTGATAAAATTATGGCCACAGTGTATTGAAGTCCAAAGATAAGACCAGAGTCTTAAGAGAAATAAATCCCAAAAGAGAAATAGAGTTATCCTTAAATGCTTAGTTTCTTTAAAAATCAATAGTGCATGAGCTAAGCTGAGGTCTGTAAAAGCTTGTTATATGGTAGTTTACACTCACATGTGTACACAAGATCACAGGCTGTGAATAGTTCAGCAGTCCTTGGAGTGCTGTGCACAGATGTGGGGTAGAGGAATCATTCCACACAACTTTCCTTTCAGGCCATTCTGGGTGGTTAGTGTGCTGTCATCTAAGTAAAGGCAGGCAATGAGGAGATCATAGCTCTTCGAGTATGAGTACACTATTTCAGAGCTACTAAATGTGGCAGGAATCAGTGCAGAGGTGATTTGGAGGTTGAATAAAGGGAAAGAGAAAGCAGGTCCCATCAGTCAACAGTTTCCTTAAAGGACTGTTAAATATAATAGATTTCTGGCTTAAAATTGATCACAAAAATAACTTTAAGAACTGGGTGCCTATGTCTCATGTCTGTTATTCCAGATACTCAGGAGGCTGAGATCTGGGTGGTCATGGTTTGAGACCAGTTCAGGCAGAAAAATTGGCTAGACTTCATTAGCCTTCATCAAAATAATTACCATGGCTAGAGGTATGACTCAAATGATAGAGTACCAATTGAGCAAGTACAAGAGCCTGAGTTCAAACTCTAGTACAGCAAAAAAATTTAATACTTTTATATCCCTAAAAATCTTACTCTGTATCTTTAGTGTCATATTTATTGAATGTTTATTGTCTTGTACCTTTTATACTGTGGAGCAGATGTTTACCTCAGTAAATTTAAAGAAAGAGAAAGTCTAGGTCAGATGTGGTAACACAGATCTATAATACCAGCACTTGAGACTGAGGCAGGAGGTTCATGAGTTCAGGCCGTATGAGCTATATAGAGTCCAGGCTTCAGAGACACCCTGTCAAACAAACAAACAAACAAAACACCCCAAAAAAGGAGCAGGAAATATTCGAATAATGTTTCTTCCCTTTGGTCTGGGTGGTGCTGTCTTCTCAGATAATTTGGTGAGTAACCAGATGAGCACAGACTGCTCTGTGGCTTCACATTGAAATAATGTGGCACTTGCAGAACAGATTATAGTCCCAATGGGCAAACAAGAAGCAGAAAATGCGGAGGGCCTCTTGAGGTCTCCCTCTGTGGACAGACAGGGCCCCACGGAGAGAGTGCTGGTGTGGAATAGCGCTGTCCTAAGACAACTTTGGTGCTGCTATACATGGTTAGTGAGTACCCTTCTCATCTCAACTTCCATATTCCCAGGGGTTTAGGAGCCTTGTGTGTACCATGGTAGTTGTCCTGTTACCCAGATCACCTATCACACCCCTCCTTGTCTTACTGGGAAGCCCTCAGGTTTACCACCTGGAGGCTAGGGATACAGGGCTCCCAGAACCCCAAAGTGTTCATTGTGACCTTGCACATTGCAGCTTTCCACTTGAGGTGATGGAAACCCTGAGTCACTCTGTCTAACCAGTAGTCACTGACCAGTTGGGGCTCCTGAACACTTGGGACGTAGCTCATGAGAGCAGGACAGAAATATAAAGTTAATGGTAACTAATAGCTGTTGTATTGGACAACATAGCACTAATCTGTCATTTGTGTGTCACTCCAAAGGTCCTTCTGAATTGATGATGGGGAACTAATAACCAGGGTTTGGCAGAATTTTGAAACCTTCCGGTGGGCTAGGCTTTTTGGGGGTTTAAATGCATTCAGGATGCACCCTTTTGTAGTTAACACTAATGAGCTGTAATGAAGCTCTGTAGTTTAGTTTTTTATGATGTGTAGTTTTTGTCTGTGTACGTATGTGTATGTGTGTGTGTGTGTGCGTGCATGTGCCTGAACCTGGAGCTTTAACTCAGGGCATTGTCCCTGAACTTTTGTGCTAGCACTCTTCCACTTAAGCCACAGCTCTACTTCTATTATCTAAATGGTGGTTAATTGGAGATGAGAGTCTTATGGACCTTCCTGCCCGGCTGGCTTCTAATCACAATTTTCATATCTCAGCCTGCTGAGTAGCCAGGATTACAGGCATGAACTACCAACACCAGCTTGTAAGTTTTATTTATTTTTTAATTCACTTATACAGTAGTTTTGTAGAATATAGACTCAAAGAGACTGTGTCTATCACCTGAGGTAAAGCTTCTGCATAGTAGTTTGCATCTCTAATCCAGTTCAAACCCAGCCTAGAGAGAGACAGCCTCATATTAAAGCCTTTACTTGGTTTCCTGAGAGAGATTGAAATTTAGATGCCTGGAATAGGTTTTTCCCAAAACTTTGAACACTGAGGCTTCTCCACCACAAGAGGCTAAGGTAGTTGGTCTTTTAGAGTCCATTGGAGACAATGTTGAATGAATCCATGTTTGCAGTACTTTGGCCTCTGTTTTATTTTCTCACCTGCAGTATATCTAATAGTTCTAACAGATGCTAGTTCTAACAAATAGTTGTAACAAATATTGTAAATTCATTATTACTTAAAAGTAGTAGAAAAAACTGTATTCATGCTGTATGCATTGACTGTAAGCTTTTTGTCTTTCTAATGGACTTTTCTTTACCTTTGAAGTAAAAGTAACATTAATAGTAACATCAATTCAGAGGGAGCTTTGAAGTCATATACAAATGATTAACATAAAAAATATGCCTTGCTCATGTAATTGTAACCCCTCTGTACGGTATTTTCACAATTAAAAAAAAAAACCAAAAACAAATATGCCCTTTCCTTTTTCTTCAATGTACATCCTCTTTGTCCAACTTTAATTTTCCCATTAGTGACAGAAATATGTGTGATAAATCCATTCTCTCCACCTGTCTCTGAGAAAATGGATGTCTAAACAGCCTCCCTCATGGATGTAGACAGCCTCCCTGCTGAGAAGAGGCCATCCATGCCCTGGTCTTCTCTCCAAAACCTGGCTGACATCTGGGCCTGGAAGGAAGGCATGTGTCTGACCCAGGCCCAGATGTCAGAAATTGAACTGTTGGTGCCATAAGGCTTCCCTGGCTTGGAGGAGATGTCAGCACTCCACCTCTTCTCTCCCCCACTCTCATGTACTTGGTCTGGCTACTTAGCCCTGCTGCCTTGTCCGCAGTGTCCACAGGGTCATACCGCTTCTTCCCACCTGTGTGTGCGCGCGCGCACACACACACACACACACACACACAGAGACCTTTGCTATTACACTGTCTTCTGTCCTCTTGTCCTCTTAACCAGAGGGACTGTTAGAGCATTTCCAGAGGAATGAGCATTTCTGCTACAGAGTTCTAGGACCTTTATAGGTCCACCTTTACTCCTGGCACCACTGCATACAGTAGGATTTGGCAGCCCCACCTTACAAGTGGATCACAGAGGTTCCTGGGTGTTGTAGCTAGACCCCCATTGTTATGGCAGAGCCAGATTCAAATCCAGAACTCTGATTGGAAAGTGTGCTTTTTACTATGGAATAGAAGCTTGATAGGATAGACAGGAAAGAAACTGCTGAGGGAGGAATAATGGGCTAGACCACATCTTCTTTTATATAGAGTACCCTTTTTTCCTTCTCCAGTAGTGTATTAGAGTCATAAGGAGGAAACAATAAAAGAAACGTGGGTAGGTCTTTTTCTTCTTCATGTCCCCAAATCAAATTAGGTAATACCAGTTGTTGACTTTTTCTTAGCCAAAGGCCAAGAAGGGATAAATAATGGCAGTTCTGCAGAGGCAAGTGAAAGTAGTTAGAGAGAAAGGGAAACAGGAGTTGTTTGAAGTAACCAATAGCTAAAACCGGGAAACAATATGTCTTAGAACTGAGAAAAAGGTTTGTAGGATGTAGTGAACATAATAATAAAAATAAAAGAATGAGAGCCGAGCACAGGTGGCACATGCCTATAATCCTAGCTACTCAGGAGGCTGATCTGATAATGATGGTTCAAAGCCAGCCCCAGCAGGAAAATATACAAGACTCATCTCCAATGAATTACCAAAAATGGTGGAAGTGGAGCTGTAACACAAGTGGTAGAGCATTGGCCTTGAACACAAAAACTCAGGGATAGTGCCCAGGCCCTGAGTTCAAGCCCAGGGGCCAACACAAAGAGAAGAAAATGGGGGAAATAAGTGAAAACTGAGACTATAGTTGAATTTAACAAGGTTTAGGTTAGGTTAACGTATAGAATAAGGGATTTAAATGTTTGGATGAGGATGAATCAGATAATTTAATTTTGGAAAAAATGCTTTTTTTGATAGTTCATATTCAGTTTGTTTCCTTAGATGACTGTGAATAAGATACCCATATTTCACTTTGCTTCTTGATTTTTCTGTATTTTCCCTAGAGGCACCCAGGTGCCATGCTGGCCCAAATTTGGTAACTTGATACCTAAAGCAAGGAGAAAAGCAATCAAAATGTTCTTAACAGTCTGGTTTTTTTTTGACCAACTATTTCAATGCTCCTAATAATGGAAAACTTGGTTTTATTGCCTGACTTAGGAAATTGCTGAAATTTAATTTAAAAAATTCCAGAATATACCCTGAATCTATTTTTAATCAGGCCAAATGCTTTCTTTAAACAACAATTTTGTTACCCATTGTGATTTACAAAGATTCAGTGTTTCAGAAAGTTTTTCATTCAAAAAGAGTGAAGAAGAACAAAGGTTTCTACTTACTTGGATTCTTGTTTTTTGTATATAGCTAGAAAATAACTTCTACCTACCTACCGGTAAATTGGAGCCTTGTTATACTTATGTCCTTCCTGAATAGTAAGTGGGAGGACAAATAGTTTAAAGTGCTTTCATGTTCTTGCAAGTATGTTATTAATTGATTTGATGGTATCATTTGTTAATATGCTTCTTTTTATATTTCAGAAAAGATGTTGGCTTAAAGCGATTTTTTCCTAAGAGTTTACTGGATTCTGTCAAGGTAATTAGAGTCTCCTTTATCATAAATGAAATTATGCCAATACCTTTTCTCCAGTGATGAATTGCTTTGGGAAAAAAAATGATACAGTTTTCTCCCTTACATGTAAAAATTATCATTTGAAAAGCTGAGTTACTTTAATCATGTTAATGGTAAGTTGGCTTTTACAAGGTCAGCTTTCTCCCATAAAACCATGGCTTCAATTCTGAATTATATGTGATATTTTCCTAAGTACAAATGAAAACAATTTTTCCTTCAGTATCCTATCCCTGTCACCTAGGTGACTTTTAAGTCTCAGATACTTTGATACACAGACAAAAAGGAAGATTATCTAAAAGAATTGTGGTATTGCCAAGCACAGTGGTTTATACCCATAATCTAGCTATTTGGAAGACAGAGACTGGAGAATTACAATCTGAAGCCACCCTCATTAAAACTTAGCAAGACTGTATTTCAGATAACAGATTGATCATTGTAACTCTCTGGGAAGCACTGGTAAAGTCATGAGCAAATAGCACAAGGACTAGAGACATGGCACAAGTGGTAAGCATGATTACCTAGCAAAAAAAGGCCTGAGTTTAAATCCTAGAACTAACCCCACCAAAAAAAAAAATTGTGGTGGCATCATAAATACTATGTATATATGTATATTCACATAAATATATTGGTGCATTATGTGTGTATGTGTTATATCAGGACATATATCTGTGTATGCATATCAGCATATTCTATATGTGCCTAACAGTGTATTCTGTGTGAATGCATATCAATGTATTCTGTGTGTATTTACATATCAGTGCATTTTGTTTTTGTTTGCATTTCAGTACATTCTGTGTGTGCTTACCAGTGTATTCTGTGCATGTTATTGCATTCTGTGTGTGTAGATTAGTGTATTCTCTCTCTGTGTGTACATATCAGTATATTCTGTTTGTGTTTGCATATTGGTGCAGTCTGCATATATATACAAATCTTCATTCTATGTGTGTTTGCATGTTAGTATTCTGCGTGTGTCTACATATCCATGCATTCTGTGTGTTTGCATGACAGTGCATTCTGTGGTTGCATTTCAGGGTATTCTGTGTATATGTTTGCCTATTATTGCATTCTTTATGTGTGTGCCTATCAGTACATTCTGTGTGTGTGTGTGTGTGCGCGTGTGTGTGTGCGCGCGCGCGCGCGTGCGTGCACATGTGTGTGCTCATGCACATGCGTATCAGTGTATTCTGTTTGCATTCTTTATGGGTATATTCATGTAACCTGAAGGTCTGTCTTCTCTTGATTCTACCATATGGACATTTTTCCCATCAGCAACTTGGGAAAACATCAGTTCTTCTCCTTCCCCATAGTTCCTACTGTGGCAGAGAAACCATTGGGAACAAAGAGAGGAACTCTGAAGTCCCAGCCAGTCCAGAACTCAGGTCCAGACATTCAAATGCAGTAAAAGGACACAGACTTTGTGGTCATGACAGGACCAGCTTAGATAAATGCTGACATTTTCCAGTCTGTCAGTGTGGGGCCTCGTTCCTTATTTCTACAGTGAAGAAAATTTTGTAGGGTTTGTGTGAATATTGAGCAGAGACATATATTTCATTTAGCACAGTACCTATTATGTGGCAGTTCATGAACAATGACTGTTTTTACTCTTTTTTTTTTTATGATCACATATGTATCCTGTCAATGAGGCTTATGTAGGATAAGGTGTGCATATGAAAGAGTGTAACAGTATCAAGATTAAGAAAACTGGCCCAAAGCCATGCTGCCTTGATGAGAACTCTGCTTCAAAGCAAATCAGCCATCACTTGGGGCAAATAACCTAGTCTTTCTATATTTCAGTTTCCAAAACCAGCTTCTGAGCAGAAAGCCCGTGGAAGGAGTGAGTGGTCAGTACAGGTGAAGTCTCTCAGAGCTGTGGATGTAGGATGAGCTCAGTAGGTCAGTCTAGCACTGGGAGGACAGCAGCACTCCTCTTCCACCTACAGTGGAAGGCCAGGGGTCACACTTCAGAGCATGTGACCGGGACAAGTGCACCTAGGATCTGTGGCACAGTACAGAATCTGCTTCTGAGTATGATCAGAGCTGTTCTGATCACCCCAGATCTGTGCCCTCACTTGATCACATCACTGATAGAGTTTATCAGCTGTGTTCTGTGGCAGCCCTGTGTCCAGACCTGGTTCCTACCAGTCTGAAGCCCAGTCTCATTCCTGCCCCCTTCCAAGCCTGATTGATGGCAGCGTGTATCCCTCCTTCGTGCTGCTGCGGGGAGACTGCCAGCGGGATGTGCACTGAGGAGCAGTAGAGGGAAAGTGTCTTGATCTTCCTGATGTTTCAGCCTCTACATTGGAAATGTTCATTTGTGTGTGTCCCACTAGTGAAATGCTGGAACTGGTGGTTGGGTTTGCAGTTCTTCTGGAGCCCCTCTGCTGCAGGGCCCACTCCTTCAGTGTAGCAGAGATAAGAGAGTACACATGCTGTTTGCATCTTCAAGTTTCCACAGACTGAGGGCTAGTGCCCACTGCAGTTACAGAAGAGCATTTAAGTGAAGGTTGGCATGGTGGAGGTCCAAGATACTCACTAGAGAATGACAGTTGTGCCCCTTCGGAGGTTTGGCAGGGGCAGGCTGGCCACTGTCCTGGTATTGGTAAAATGGGACTTAGGCTTGACTGGAATGCCTTGGATGTTAAACAAGGGCAAGCTAAAACTTGACTGATTTTACATTGCCATTGGATAGAAGAGTGCTCTACATGATGTTCAGTGAATGGTTATATCACATTAATAGTATCATTCAGGGCTTCTCAGTGAGACCTTTGGTAGCCTCTGTATTACTGTAAGTTCTCTGTGTGTTTTTATATACAAACATAGCTATTGCAGAAGTAAGACTGATCTTTATAGATATACATGAAACAGGGATGTGTGGGTACAGGTCACAGCTGTGCAATGTGAGCAGATGCCCATGGGGGTGCAGTGGGGGCCCAGTCCTACCCTCCATGCCTGCATCTTCCATACCTTAGCTCCAGAGTTCTCTTTTGCAGTCTTCCATACTTTTTTGTCCTAGATAACAGTATCCTAGATAAGCAGTATTTGCTTGTTGTCGCTCCCTCCCTTCCTCTTTCCCTCCCTCCCTCCCCCCCTCTCTTTCCCTCTTTCTCCCTCTCTCCCTCTCTCCCTCCCTCTCCCCTCCCCCCTTTCTCTGCCAGTCCCCAGGGTCTGGGTGCTGTCCCTGAGCTTATTCTGCTCAAGGCTGATGTTCTACCACTTGAGTCACAGTGCCACTTCTGGCCTTTTCTGAGTAGTTTATTGGAGATGAGAGTCACAATTTTCCTGTCTGGGCTGGCTCCAAACTGTGAACCTCAGGTCTCAGCCTCCTGAGTAGCTAGGATTACAGGTGTAAGCCACAGGCACGCAGCTTTTGCTTGTTAAATGTTCCTTTTACTCTCTGAGTTTGTAATTGAGTCATATTTACCTGTTGCATTTTCTTCTCTGCAATGTATTTTAAGGTCCACGAGGGCCAAGATAGTGTCTGTGGGATTCCCCATACTTCATGCTGGGTTTGAGTCTGCACATAGTATTAGTTGGTAAATCTTACAAAAATGAAAACTCAAATGCTTAACAGCAATGTGAAAGATGAGGAAAGAGGGTAAAAGGCAAGAAAAGGCGTGGAGGTTAAATTAAATAAGATACCAAGAAGATGGTAAAGTTCAAAACCAGAGAAGTACTTTTGCTGTCCTGGAGATGTCTGCACAGCTGAGGGAATTAGGAAACTTCGAAAACAGAGCAGGTGTGCTTTTTCATAAGTGCCACTGCTCTGGTTTTCATGTAAATAGAATTAGTTTTTAGCTACTAGTATTTTTAGATTGATCCATTCGTGGAGTAGCTCGTATATTAGGTTCTTTGAGATGTTTTCCCACATGCCCTTTTAAAAAGATTATGTAGTTATTATAAATGTGATGTACAGAAAAATTACATGAGTCAGTGTCTTCCCTCACTCTCTTCTAGTCCCTCCCTCCCGTCTTCACCCATGAGTTGAGTTCACTTTCATCAGTGTCCAGTGAGCTACACCGCTGCACTCTTACACTCTGTTTTCCTTGAGTTCTGTGCTGTCCCTCAGATATACACGCAAATACACTCTACATAAAGAAGACAGAATCATTAACAGAATTAAGGGGGGAAAAGAGATACCTTGTTTCCATACTTTGGAGTTGTTTCCGTATGTATTTTTTATATGGATATGAAGAGGCACTTAGGCATTGCACTCGTGTTTCCTTCTTTTGGTCTGACCCACATGCCTTTTAATAGTAAGGAAGTATTGTGACTTCATAAGCCAAATTTGACCTTTTACATAGCTTAGTCTGGAATTCATATCCTTAAACCAAGATTTCATCACCATTACATGAATTCTTTCAGCATAGCACCGGTTGCCATCAAGCTGTCTTGGAACATGGTACTGATGTAAGATAAGCCCACAGAGTGTTAACACTACAATACTAATTGGGTTTTGTTCAGCCCCTTCAGTATTTTTGCCTGTGAAATTCCAATTAACAAGCTCAGATCTGGTTTCTTGTTTTTTTCTGGAATAGTCTTATAGAATTGTTAGGTCAATTAATATTTGCTTTTTCATAAATATTGTGTCTATATATTTGTTTCCCCAAAAGTCATTTATTTTAATCTGCCTTTTTTTTCTCTTTTGAAATGTTGAGAGAGATTTTGTAGTTAACATTCATATTGACTTGTTGACAGGATTTATTATATTTAGTGGAGCTTGGATTAACTGTTAGGTCCCAAAACCAGATTCTACAATAAATATATGCCTCAGTTACTAAGAATACTTTGCAAGATACTGTAAATTTCTGGCTCTGATATTAGTAGTTCTAGAGACACATCTTTAAAATCATTTTTTTTTCATAATACCCAAATCTTGCTTCATCAAAAGCTTGCAGGTCAAGGGGCTAGGAAGGTGGCTCATTGGTAGAGCGCTTGCCTTGCATGCATGAGGCCCTGGGTTCGAT